CCAGGGACTTCGTCCCTGGACCCTACCGGGGGGCTTCACCCCCCTGGACCCCCATCGGCCCCCCCGACCCCTCTTCGCCGCGCACGCACTTATGGTATAAAATAGTATACGCAACTCGTGCGGGCAGTAAGCGATAACCGCTTGCTTCCCGCACTTGTTGCGTAATATACTATTCTAGCTCATATGATTACAACCCTTGCCTTCGGCTCGGGCTGCACTCGTAATCGCCAGAAAAGTTTTTTTCGGCCTAATGACGAAACATACTATTTTGTGAATAAAAAAACACGGTGGCAAGGATAATTTTTCTTTGGTTTTTCCTGGAAATAAAGAAGATAATTTTCTAGAAAAATACAACTTGCATCGTTTTCCTTAACATATGGATAACTAAACGGCGAAAATTATGGAGAAATATTGCCTAGATGTCTTGTGATAATCAACTGCAAATCAGTCGTTTTCAAGACCAATTTTTTGGTCATGATGTCACGAAGACGGTCAGGCAATGCTTCATTTGTCGAGAGTAAAGACAGCGGGGAGTTGTCGTACTTCATTGGCCGAGGCGCACCTCAAAATTGGGTAGGTCAGCTCGAGCCATTCTGTAATTGGTTCAGCGCTCGATCGTTTGTGTGACGTCATTAGTGATTTCAAAGCGTTTGAAATTTTCAACTTTTAATAATTAATTATTAATTGATGAGATTAGAAAATTGAAAAAAATTGAAGCAAGTTCCCTATTGTAATGCCGCCTGTAGAGGTACTTTCATTGGGTCTTGAAATTCCTGTACAGACTCATCATTTACTAAGATTAAGGTTGAGTTGTCTAATGCTTCAAGAAGCGAATCTACACTTTTACAAGAAATACCACAGTCCCATGGCAAAGAGTGGACATTGAACTCCCCTTTGAAAACTGAAGCGTAGGCATTCGAATGAAAGTTGAATAAATCCGACAATCCACGTTTTGTACTTTGAATTTTGGGTTTTTGGTAGACACAATATATGGTAAATTCCACTTTAATTGTAGGAAGAAGAATGCCACGAATGTATAAATTAGGTGAGTTTTCATTCACATTACAAATTTTCTAATATTTCAAGTTATCCCTAGTAGCGATTGCTCAAAGGCTTTGCGAGAAAGAATAAATCTAGGGAATTTAAATGGAATATCAGGTTTTAAAAATGTTTCAGATAATAAAATAACATGATAACTATTCAATTTTTTTTGTAAATCTCCCATTTTCATATTTCGTGCGTTTAATTGTAAAATACGTAAGGGATTTCCTTGTTTAATGTTGAGACGATCCATTTGTGTCCAAAACTTTACTAATCGGAACAGGATTATCAATGTCTTGGGAGAGTGCATCTTGAATTTTTTCGTTACTATTGTTGTTCATAGAAGCAGGGTAGAAACTTGAGTTAACTTCCCCAGGGGGTACGATGGTATGACTGAATTGTTTGACGGTGGCACTGAGTTGGGAGACGTCTCTGTTGATTCCTATAGCTGCAGAAAGGGGAGATGAATTTTCCATCATCAATTGAAAGAATTGTATCATTTGAGTCACCATATTCTTGAATTCCTCACAACTTTATCAGAGTTGAATTGAGAGAGAGGATTAAGGAAAAGGAACTTGATTGTGAGGAGATTAATTCATGATTTTGCCAATTTTTGAGACCATTAATTCGACTGTCTACTGTCAATAACTAATGCGACTGAAGCAGGCGATTGAAAAAAAACGGCCAGAATTGATCAATAGGAAAGGCATCGTCTTCCATCACGACAATGCTAGACCGCACATATCTTTAGTGACTCGTCAAAAACTGAGAGAATTTGGGTGGGAAGTTTTGATGCATCCACCGTATAGCCTTGATCTTGCCCCGTCGGACTATCATTTGTTCCGGTCTCTGCAAAACTCTCTTAATGGTGTAAAGCTGGGTTCAAAAGAGGCTTGTGAAAATCACTTGGTTCAGTTTTTCGCCCAAAAACCTCAGAAGTTCTACAGTTACGGAATTATGGTTTTACCAGAAAAGTGGCAAAAGGTCATCGATCAGAACGGCACATATCATTGATTAGTGTTTAAAATTTATATTAACAAATTCACTTTGAAAAACATGAAAAAAACCGAAATTACTTTTTCCCCAACCCAATATATGTGATCTTGACGTATTTCGACGAATATTGTGTGGGAACCTGGCGACTAAATGAATTTAACTTCTTTGAGCTACTACAATTAGTAACGTGGATGCTCATGTAGATGTACGGGACCTCCCATTCTACAATTTTCATTCTAAAAGCCGTTTTAAAAATGTAAATTATGAGGTATTTATATAAATTCAACGTGTAGTGAAGCACTTATTTTTTAAAGTATCAAGCTTCACCAGTACTTTGCATTATCTAGGGATCGCGACGGGGACGCAGCTGGTATTAACCCCACAAAGGTCATAATTGGGCCCAGTCACCCCCTTCAAGTTATTTACCTAATTGAGTCCGTCTCAAATTTCTTGTTGATTCCAATTTCTTTTGTCATTAAATTACGGATTAATTCAGTTTCCTCGAAAAATTCGTTGGAGCAGTTATATATTGTAATTACTGAAATTATTTCAATTCCCATTATTTGTTCAAGAAATATCGGAAATTATTGATTATTCATAGCAGTCAAATCTAAGCATCGTAAATTAAAACTCAAGAAGAAATTTTTTATTAGTTGGTAATGCATCGGAAAATTTGTTGGGAGAGCTTTCCTGGAGCCCTCGCCAGACTGCATGAAAAATTCTCTTGACAACATCTCTACTCCAAAGATATTCCAAAAACAATATTGGAACGCTTTCTTGACTTCTCATTTCACCCCGTTATGACTCGATTTCTTCTGAATGAAAAAACATCTAAACTGTGAAGAAAGAATTCATGAGACACGTAAAAAGGTTTGTACTCACGGAGCAACCATTTCCGCTGCATCAGCGAAATCCCTGGGTGCCTTGGCTGCAAATTGTACGATCAAAGGTTCATCCCTCGTATTTGTGCTAAACTCATTATCCCTCGCCTTCGAGGATTGCACAAACGAGTCAGCTAGGATCATCGGTGTGAAGCAGACATCACAACCGTAACGTCTGACCAGATTTCGAAATGCTAGTCTAAAATAGGAAAAAACAAAGGTATATAAATAAAAAAAAAACATCAACTAGTCCAATCGATTCAAGCTCCACTCTGAAACATTCATAACAGCGAGTTAGAAGACTCACTTGCTGTACCGAACCATTGGTGCACAGACTCTCGTCATTCTTGGTTCCTTAAGTATCTCAACAACGTCAATAGACATGACTGAAGACAATTTCAACAATCGAATTCCAGTAACCACCACTAATTGGAACTTTAAAAACCACGTGGTGAGGCCTGTTCACCTGGTAACCCGGGTGTTGTTGTTGTCTCTTCTGGGTTTAGGTTAGAAATCGTTATAAAAAATCAGGAATCACAAAATTGAAAAACAAAACTTATGACATCTATGGTATGGAAGACAAACTTGGAAACACTGCCACCTGGCAGACGAACCTCGAACCCGCCTAAACGAAAGGCTACTGGCCCCGTTCGTGGCAACCCCTTTCCGAAGTGTCCCGTTTTGATCATGAAACTGCAGTTGCAGTGCAGTGGATGGGGAATTCTAAACATCTAAACCACTAACACATTACGATTTTTCAACCACTGACACAATAGTTTTTATCCAACCAGTGTGTCCAATTAGTGCGTTCCCCCACACAATTCAAGGGAATCCAATGAAAAATAACAGAATACGGAACAAATTGCTGCGCGTCATGGAATGATATATCTCGTGGTATTATCGCGGTGACATCGTCATCAGGAGGATTACACGTACATCATTAGTGGAAAGGAGTCGGTGTACGCCAAATCAGGAATTAGGTGGATTGTATCGTAACTGGAGAGCGCCAAACGCTGAAATTATTTTGACAGCGAATGGCAAATTATTGGAGTGGGGGAAAAGTGTGTTCCGCCATATTTAGCAAACTTGTGACTTTTCGGAGGAAGTTCAAGTAACACCGATAATATTAGTCAGATAACCCAACTTCCAATAATTCATCCCTTGGGGCAATTGAAAAGCTAGAGAGAGGTCTTAAATTGCCAATGGTCGGTTGTTTGATGATGAATTCCAGATTTTATCAATAGTGAATGTGAGATTTTTTTTTCAACTGTCAATTTTTTTAATTCAACCGGGCGTCCTCCGAGTGTTGATTTTTTCATTGTATTATTCTGATTTTACATTGGAAAAATGGTAAGAATTCGTTGAGAAATCATCTCAAGTTTTTCAATGGAATTTTGTTTTATCATTATTACTTTTTTCTGAAGAGTTTCTTTGGGTTTGGTCAATCTGCTGGACTGGAGATCATTCTGAATGGAGCTGACACGAGGAAAACAGCAGAGATTAAGACCGAGGATGGCAAGAAGGAGCGACATTTGTTGTATTACGACGGCGAAACCGTTTCTGGAAAGGTAATTTTTCTTGCTAATTCTGTTGAAAATTCAAGATTGGTACTTACAGTTTTATTGCGTGAATTTAGTACATAGGTTCACTCGCATCGGAAATTTTTGCTTTAGGAAAAATAAAATATTCCCTGTCTGTACAAATGCTCGTCAGGCTAGTTTTTTTCGCCTGCAATAAATCGCATCGTTTTGCTTTAAAACATAAAACTTGACGGTTTTACGGTGGAACTAGTAAGTTTGGAAACAAATGTGAGAAATTCTTCTTGCAGTTCATCCAATTTTAAATGAAATCCCTGGAAAAGTAAAGAGAAATTAATCGAACAATTCTTTCAATTTCAAAATCTTGAATGATTTTTTTCATGAACCATGAAATGGTGTGCAGTTGAGGTTTCTTGACAAAAAATTTACAAACCTTCCTCCCATACACTGTTAGAAAATTACTCTTGAAATTTCAAGTGAAAAAGCTTGAAATTTTTCACAAGGACAAAGCTACACGAAATTTATGAATATTTCTTCATTGAAGAATCAGTTAATTTCTTGAATTTTCAAGCAATTCTCGATTTCCAGGTCCAACACCTTTTCTGAATTTTCAATCTATTGAAATACAAATTGTATGTGATGTTCAATTTTCACGATGAGTTTGGAAATTCAAGCTTTCATTGGAAAATCAATGATTATTCAACATGAAAAACAAAATTTTCTTGAATTTTCAAGATGAATGAGAAATTTAGTAAACGCTTTCATTTGAAATTAGATTCAACCTCACAACATCGAAAATTCAAATGACGCTGTAACTGAAATTTCAAAAAATTTCTAACAATGTAGATGTTAACATTTGCTTTGACTCATCTTTTCTTTGGCGAAAAATGAACAAAACTGATGTAAATTTTGTAAAGATCAGTTTTTGATAATGTACTCATTGAAAATTTATAGGTAATTGTAAGCCTGCGGAAAGCTGGAAAGTTGGAGCACCAGGGTGTAAAGGTCGAATTCATCGGCCAGATCGAACTGTATTACGATCGTGGAAATCATCATGAATTTACCAGTCTCGTGAAGGAATTAGCAAGACCTGGAGAATTAACGCATAACACTGAATACACATTCGAATTTGCTAATGTTGAAAAGCCTTTCGAGAGCTACACAGGTTCAAATGTTCGCCTGAGATATTTCTTAAGGGTCACCATCGTTCGGAGATTGAGCGATCTGGTTAAAGAGTTGGAGCTCGTCGTTCACACTCTAAGTTCTTATCCGGATATGAATAATCCGATTAAAATGGAAGTTGGGATTGAAGATTGTTTACATATTGAGTTCGAATATAATAAGAGCAAGTGAGTGTGTGTAGATATCTCGAAGAACTCAACTATTTTCGTCTCTTAATTCACATAACTGGTATGGAATACTGACTGGATAATTATTTTTCAGATATCACTTGAAAGATGTTATTGTTGGGAAAATCTACTTTCTTCTAGTCAGAATAAAAATTAAACATATGGAAATCGCCATCATAAAACGAGAAACAACAGGGTCTGGTAAGATGGGCTATCATATTAAGCAACTTAAATAAAGAGTTCTTAGTTCTGAGTTGGGTAGAAATTTTTACAATAATGAAAGTTTTACATAAAATTGCTGGATCAATGAGAAAACTTTCGGGCACTAGAAATCATCCATTTCAATCACATTGCGTGCTAAAAGGAAAAAGGTCGTATTGACTATTTTGTGACTTTTAGGTCAACAAAGTGAAAAAAGGTCGTATGAACTTATTCAAGGGAACATAAAATTTGGAAGATTTGGGCTCTCTAGAATCATTTGAATCCAACTTTTGAGGACAATTTTTCGCGCATACGAACTTTTTCACAAATGTTTCTCTAATAGTGGAAAAATGAAAAACAAAACATCTTTTCACTGTTTGCCTCTCATTCTTTTAATATTTAGCCGTAGTTTTGAAGAAATGAACATCACTCCGGAATTTACTCCTAGAAAATTCAAAGAAAAATACACAATGAGCACTATATGCGCAGTAATAAAAAAATTGGGAACTCAAAAATTGAAAATTAAATACCCTCGACGAAGAAGTTTTAAATTGATTGCTCATAAAAGGAAAATAGAGCACTCATATTCAATGAGTCGTACGCAAACTGAGAGAGTCATGCGAACCTGACCTATATCTCGACAATTAGAAATAACTGAGAGCAGGAACAGAAGATTAAAGTTGAGGAAACGTGCATTCAATCAATAATTTTTCGGTATCCCCCGACTTTGCTCTACCGTTTCTCTTCTTAACTATTTCTAATTGTCAAAATATGGTTCAATTTCCCCACACTCCCTCAGTTTCCTTATAACTCATTCTTTGCATCCGAATGGAAGTTTTATAAATGTGATTTTTTTCGATTTTATCATCTTAGGTAGAAATGCTTAGGAATGCCAGTATTTATGTCTGTATGGATGAATAGTTATCGGAAAAATTCTAAATTAAAATAAAAGCTGAAATTCTGGCTTATAATTGTCAATACTGTGGTTAAAATTTGTGCTATATTTGAGCTCGATCGGTTGAGCAGTTCCTAAAGTAAAGTGATTCCTCGAAAATAGTTGTTTGGAATAGTGGCTGTAGTGATCACGCGGGGAGTGTGTGACTCCGGCGGTCATCCGAGCTAAGCAGCGTTCAGTCTGCCCAGTACTTGGATGGGTGTCCGCTTGGGCACACCTAACCGCGTGGGACTACAGTCGCTAGGCACGAATGTAGAGAACCACTGTGCCCATTGAGTCAGTGTGACCAATAGACACAGTGGAATCCCTGCATTATCGGCCGGCTGCACGACTGAGGTTTTCCATGGTTTCCCTGGCAGTCCAATCCCGAATGGGGTGCAGTTGGGGATAAAGTAAGTCGGCCCATGGTAACGCAGATAGGGAAGGGAGCAAAATGTAAAAACCCGTGAGGGTATACATATGGAACCAAAATATATATATATATAGTTGTTTGGAGATATCGCCGGAACCATTGGACTGAATAGATTTTTTTTCCTTTCAAAATAGCCGCCATGATAGTGCCTATTTAAATAAATTGAAAAGAGGCCACCCCACTGTGAACAATGTAGTTTTATTTTCATTTTTCCACTTTTTCTCGAAAATTATTTTTACGCATGATAATTCAAACAATAATTGAAAAAGAAACGTGAAACTTGGTAGGATTTTCGGCCTCATTATAGCAAAGTGTGATATTTTGGATCAGTATCATCAGACAAGTGTAGTGTCGGAGATATTCAGCTTTGCATGTGAACTATTTTGCTCAATATCTCAAAAGCTATTAGACTAATTTCAATTTTTATTTTCCCAAAATCCCGTCGTGATGCCATCCATTTGCTTAAATCAAAATATAAATACCCCTCCATCGAGAATTCGAGAAATTGCCATTTCTCTATTTTTTTTGTCAGGATTGACTTTTGTACACTATAACACGGCTAAAAGTCAGGGGAAACTTTTAGAACTTTGCCTACTAGTTAATATTGTCAAATTACGCGTTCTTATTGAATTTTAGGCCGATATATTGAATAATTGCGGAAATGGAACAATTTATACAAAATTCTTCCGAAAAATAATGACGCATCGTTATGAACGGTATTCATTCGGAAACTTATTACCAATTCAAATGTTAGAAATTAGAAGGAAATAAAAAAAATAACGCGTAAAGCAACGATTGCATTTCGGTGGCATGTCGAGTTCATATTCCGTGTTCATTGAAGCAATCTATTCACCACTTTTTCGTCGAGGGTTTTTAATTATAATTTTTTCCGTTTTTATTTTTTTTATATATTTTTTTCTTTTAATTTTCTAGAGCCTGGTTGCACCAATCCCTGTTAAGCAAATAAACCCTTGTGTGAACTTTATCCTCGGGGTCAGTTATATCGTAAGAGTTACAATTTTTCAATATTTAACCCAAACAAAATGTTTTTATTTATCCTGCAACCTCATTTGAGTCAACCCTACTTCAACCCTGGGATTTATTTAGATATTTTGTTGCTGCAGTAAATTTTAGGTACTCTCTCTGTCTAAGAGTCTAAGAGTCAACTCTAGAGTAATGTTTATTTCTTGAAAAGTCCTGCTGAATATCATAAAAATGAGGAGCAAACAGTGAAAAGATTTTTTTTTTCATTTTTCCACTATTGCCGAAACAATTGTGGGAAAAGATCGTATGCGCCGAAAAAAAATTGTCCTCAAAAGTTGGAATCAAATGATTCTAGAAAGCCCAAATTGTCCAAATTTCATGTTCCCTACAGTAGGTTCATACGACTTTTTTCACTTTGTTGACCTAAAAGTCACAAAATGGTCAATTCGACCTTTTTCCATGTAGCACGCGACATCAGGGAAAAATCGTTTTCATAATCGGAATGCATCATTTAATTTCCTCTCTCGACAACTCAAAGTAGTAAGAAATTACAAGTGAACTTTGAAATCTTGAATCAATCAATTTAGCTCAAAAATTGGTTGAGGACGAGGAATCAATTTACTCAATGTTTTAAAGTGCATGCCTCCATGGGATAAACAATTATTTTTGTTGGAAAGGTTTTCTGTTTTCTAGTCATCAATTCTTTCATAACTTTCTATCCAAAGAATACATATTTACAGGTCCACACACATTCACTGAGAATGAGACAATAGCGAAGTATGAGATTATGGACGGTGCACCGGTCAGGGGTGAATCAATTCCAATAAGAGTGTTTCTAGCTGGTTATGATCTTGCGCCAACGATGCGAGACATCAATAAAAAGTTCAGCGTTCGATACTATTTAAATCTAGTTCTGATGGATGAGGAAGATCGTCGTTATTTCAAACAACAAGTGAGCCAATTTCTTCACCGTTTTTTTTTTCATGTAGCCATTTATAATGCTAGAGGCCCCCAAAATTACTCTAGAAAAAAATGGTTTCTAATGGAGGAATGGGTTGAAATGTCAACCAAGGATACAACGAATTGTTGATTGAAAAATAACCCATTCCTACTAAATTCCGGCCCTTCTGAGCATGGAAATGAAACCACCACCTCTACTATTCGTTTGAAAAGTAGAGATCTCTGAGGTTAAACACGCATAAATTCGGTGAAAAAAATCATAGAAATATGAAACAAGTTTTAATAATTGACAAAATAATTATTTACCTCATCCTACACAGAGCCTCTTCTTCTCGAATTCATTAGTGCTAATTATATCGTAATATAAAGATGCAAAAACGTCCAATTGTGGGGCCCGCGAAAATTCGTGAACTTTGCTGTCACAGATTAGGAAAGAATAGTATATTTCTCACCTAGGGAGGTAAAATAAAGGGTCGTGCCCGCATGTGGAATTACCATCTGCGCTGATGGCGAGAGTCCTTATTTTACCTCTCCAGGTTAGAAATGTACTATTTCGCAGGGGTATTGAAAAATCATACGTGCCTTGGGTAGAGGAAAATGACTCTTCATCATATCTGCACGTAAAGTTGGATTTTGCCCGCCAAATGGCGGGAGGAAAGTCGCTTATTTCATTCCTCGGATTTCTGTTGTTTTTGAAGAAGCTCTGAATAACACAACGCACGTTGCTTTCTGCATTTACGAAGAAAAATCGAACTATACCGTACAGTTATAATGAAAAATAGTATGTGCACGTAGATCCTAGGAAGGAAAACAGGACACCCAAACCCGAGGCGAAGCCGAGGGCGGTAAACACATGGGTTTGGATGTCCTGTTTTTCTCCCTTGGTGACAATATACTGTTGCGATTTGGCTTTTCCTCTCTCTCAACTATCTTTACGTATGATCGTCTCTCGCTTTCTCATTATATTCGTTCTTAGCGTCATTTCCTTTTGTATTTTTTAATCATTTATTTCGTCCCAAATTGTTTAATAAAATCACTTATATTAAATGGGCCCATACTTTACAACACTATTCCTACTGTTCTTTACACTTAAATTCTGTAATTTTCTGTCTAAATTTCTTTATTTCTTAATTTTCATTCAAGGAAATAACATTATGGAGAAAAGGTGAAAAGAGTAGAAGGTCCCAGACAGCATCACCCCACCTGCCCTCTCACCTTGTCTCCGCTGAGACCGGTTTTCCCCAGGGTGCAGCGATAAACGGTCCACCATCCCTTCCTCCAAGTAACCACTCGGAAGACTCCGAAGATAGAGATAATCCAGCAACTGACGACACCTCGGCTCCCATCGAGGGGATGACACGTGAAGAAGGTGACGGTGAGGGTGAAAAAGAAGAGGTCAGCCCTGAGCGTCAATGAGTCCAACATATTTTCACATGAATCCTCACATTCGATTGAAACAACAGCGGAGACGAAGAAAAAATTCAAAGATGAAAGGAAGATGGAAAATAATTGAATCCTGTAAATATTAACGTCGTAATCATTAAGTAATTGAAAACCTAACTAATTAATGCAGAAAAATGATAAGTAATATCATCTTATTAAACCATGGCACCTAATGATTGATAATTAAGTCAATCGACAGATATCTCGGTGTAAAAAACGAGATAATTTTCAGTGTAGATGTGTCGGATACTTGGAGAAGTTGATGGCCGATTGGAAATTATACTGTTTTGTAATTTAATAAATAATGTACATATGTATATATATATACAGATATATATACAGTAATTACCCGGATCCAAAGCATCTTTCACAGTGTGTCGAACAAAAATCGAAAATAGAGAAATAATGGTAGATAGTCTGGACAGGCATAACAGCGAATAATGGATAAGCATTGGGCTTTGCATTCGGATAAATACAGTGTACATGGTGTCTATTTTCTAATGCTCAGTTATCATCGTAACGCGCAGTGCCATTTGGCGAGAGAACTGAACTTTGTCCCCTTATGCCAACATCCTTTTGCATTCGCTGAAATGCACCCTACGGATGCTATCATCATTGGTCATTTCAACAGAACAAGAAATAAACTCATTACGAATTGGAATCCACAAAACATTCATTAATAAGTTCGTTTATTAGGGGATAAAAATTTCAAATGTGATTTTTCTTGAAGGAATCTAATAAAAATATCAAATGCATTGAAATTATAGGTTTTTAAAAATCAAATTGTAAGTGTGAACAGCAGTGGAATGGTAATGAAAGAGGAATCTTTTCCACTTTGAAATCAGTTTTTTTATTATATCTTGGTTAGAATCTAAAGGAGGTGACGAAATCATCTCTAGAAAAAACAGAGTTCTATGAAAATGAATTTATCACCTTTCGATTCAAGCATACTCGAAAATAATAAATGTTTACGTTCATTGATCTCAATCCAAAAATTCATATCTGAATAAAACGATCATGACGACGTAATTGTATAAAACGAACTAATAGATATCCCTGTCCATTAAAGTGAGCCATGGCATCTGTGAGAGTTTCTGAATCACTCAGCTATCGAAAAAATTAAACTGAAAAATGGAGCACATGTGCGTCATTCATTACTAGTGTACTTTCTCGTCAACCCGGTGATGTAATATTCATTTATTATTGTTTTTAATTCCGGATGGAAAGTGAGAAATTTTATGGGGAATGAGTATTATCGTCAGCGAGTTGAACTAAATAACTTTAGATAGGAAACAAGAACAATCTAGAAATTACGGGAAAATAATACCCGTTTTTTTGGTTAAAATTGAATTATTATTTAACTGCATTCGATTACTTTTTGATTTTCACTTTCATTTCATCGTCATTTCCTTTGCAATTTATCAATTAATTTTATGCAATGTATCATTATTATTATCACATTATCATTACAATTATTATAAAAGTTGATTATATTATCATTAATTATATTCAGTTTCTTATGGTAATCATAGTATTTATCATGAATTGAATGACGTGTGTCATTGCGTGAATGATAGAGAAAGAAAATTTAATAACATTTCAATAAAGTTTGTTACTTTACATGTCAAATATTGTATATACATATACATATATATATATATTCTATGCGATATGCAATTTGTTGTATATTTTAGTGTCTTAATAATTGAATTACAAATATATACGCGCTTGACGATTTATAATAATTATTTCTTTTTCGAACTAATTCTTCTTTTCGCCCGTTTTCATAAAACAATCCATGACTGGTGTTCAACACAGAACCATCTTATTCTAGATATTTTTTTTCTTTCAAATTTGATTTGGATTTTTCATTGCTTTGCCGCTGGTCAGTTGTTGGTTTCTTTATTTTCTACTGATAGCCAGAGGTGAGCGTCTTAATTTCGTTGGTAAATTGCACCGTTTTTTACCGTTGTAATTTACGTATATTACTTCGACGGGTTTTTTACATTTTTCATATTACTTCGAAAAGCTTGCAATTTTCGGCTACTAGAATGTTTTATTTTATTCCGACTGACGAAGACGCAGTATTGGACATATAAATATCATAAAAAATAGTATATTATGTCCCGAGGACAGATAAACCGCGAATTTTAACTTCACTTTGTTCGGTTGGATCGCGGTTCTCGGTACTTGGGCCATAAAATATTATTTTATGTCCCTAGGACCGTAAAACCGCGATTCTAATATCGATTCCCTCGGTTAAATCGCGGTTTCCCGGGCCCAGAGATACAAAAGAATTGTATGTCACACGGCGATAATAGTATGTTATGTCACTAGGCGATAAAAGTATCATCTGGCGAATGTGGCATTATAATCCGAGCCGAAGGCGGTATGCTTTCATCGCCGTGTGGCATACGATATTTTATGTCGCTGGGCCCGAAAACCGCGAGCTAACCGAGCGAAGCGAGGTTAGAATCGCGGTTTTTTCGGGCCTAACGACATAAAACTATTTCCTGACTCATGTGAGTAAAATCCTCACCTTCGGCTCGGAGTATAAAGCCACATTCGTCCGAAAATACTTTCATCGCCTGCTGACATAATGGACTATTACATCACGTGGTACGATTGCCGGCATTTTAAGAAACTCAAAAACGAGCCTCATACCTCATAAAGCATAAATTTCACGAGGGTAAAACGTTGCAAAAGACGAAAGTCATAAGTCCACAAGTCATCGCCATTGTGATAAATTTGTGTGTTAATTTCATGATCTATTGAGCTTTATTGGATTCTCCCCCCAAAAAGCCCAGTTGGGCCTGAAAAGAACCATTTTCTTTGAAGAGTTCAAAAAATCTACCAAAGAATTGAATTTGGTTTGGTCCTTTAAGAATTCTGAATGAAACAAGTTAATATCAAGCCAAAAGATGATGACGCGACGAATTCAATAGAGATCAATAAATAATGAAATTGACCCTTGTAAAATTCATCCCTTATACGGTATGACCCTTACGAGGTGTGACCCTCGAGACGTATGATCCTGGCGAGGTATGAACCTCGTGATTTTCATCACCCTCGCGAGGTATAATCTTCGCGAATCTTCATGGTTTACGATAAAAGGTACGTCGACTGATTTTTGACATTTTTGACATTTATTAGCGGAGGGTCGGGCAAAGTGGGACGTCGTAAGATTTTTTTCAATTGTCAATATCTTCATTTATAAGTGAAGAGATTGACAATTGGAGAAGATCACGAAACCTCCCATTTTACTGGAGTCTCCCTTACGTAAATGACGGGTTTTTTTACAATGTCATGTAAAAAACTGCGATTATCGATAAAAGCCCAACCCTGCTGATGGCAAAACAACAGCAAGAAGCACTGCACTCACTGCCGCTTTATTTACGTGCGCAAATAAACAACAACTCTTCTATTTGAAGAAACATCAGAACGAACTTTTCTATCGACTGTTGATATATAACCCAACGCATGCGCATTGAATTGACTAGACTAGGCCATGCTTGTCGGCAAGATGGCCGCTGTGTGGGAATGTTAATTTGTGACAAGCGAACATTTCCAGTGTTTTGACTATTATGGTGTTTATGAAGACAGTTTCTCGTTCTTTGTGATTTCGCAACCATCTTTTATGGACCATTGACCATAGGTAAGTGTCAACAATTATTTACATCAGTAAAAAACACGTTGAAAAATCAAAGTCGTGGGATTGTCTAAGCACACCCTTCTATTCATTTAATTTTCATTGCTTTATTTTCATCTCATTGACACGTTTTTCTGAACGTTGAATTTTCTTTGGTACATTGTGAGGTAATTGTTCTGGCTGTCAACCATCACATCACATTGGAGCAGCTCGTTCGGACTAGTACAAATATCAAATAAATTAAAAAATAAATAGTTAAATAGTCTGCTTTAATTTATTTTTGTGGGAAGGAAGCAGCGTTGAGCGTAGTGTAAATATTTGAGACTGAATTGTTTATTTTATTTGTGAGATTAGCACCTCTCAGGCAGTTAGCTCAGTCAATACAAGTTATATTGAGTTTACTTTTTGCTCAACAGATGTCTACTCATTCTCCGATTTCGATTGTTGATTTTTGGGGACGGAGCGGATACACGTGTTTGTTTGACTATGACGTTTATTAGATTGACTAGCGCCACCCGGTCGCAAGCGGCCGGGGTGTTGATGCTTTTCATAATGTCCTTCTTGCTGTCAGATTCGATACGATCGATGAGAATCATATGTCCTAATTTAACAGCTGTAAATTAGCTGTAATTTTCATATTACAATAAATGATTTGCTCGTGTTCTAATTCCTATGTTCACTGATTCAGATTTTAATCATAATTACAATTCAATTCCTTCGAGAACATACTAGAGAGTGTGAATGTCTTGAATTCAAAGTTTGTTGATATTCTGGTAAAAGTGCGTGCCCACACTGTTATCAATTCTTAGTTAGTTTACACAGTAATTCAATTAATCTGTTGTTCATCAATAAAAGTTCGTGCTTAGAATATTGTGATCTCATATTTTTACTACGAAATTAAAAATTAAAACTCAATTTGCTCAAAACACAACTTATTGACGTGGATACGTCTATTTTATTATGGGGGGGCATTTAGGGAAGAAGCCCTTAGGGTTCCTTATCCGCATTTATGATAAAAAATCCGATAACTAACGAAAAACACGGTAATTGACGTAATAGACGATTTTTCACAAAATATTCCCTCTCACGCACTACTGAACAAATTAATCTTAAATTCTTTCGAGTTATCTAGCTAAATTTGAGATCGTTAAATAAAGTTCTAACTACATTATAGCCACACGAGTAAGCTGATCAGCTAAAAATAAAAAATAGCAATAACTCGAACACTTTCAACGCAACGGTACTTATATTTTAATTTGGTCAGATAGCCACCATTATAATGAATATTTTGAAAAAAGAATTGAATTCGTCTGAGTGGTTTTTTGTTTAAGATATTAAAGAAAAAAGTTTCACATACAAAGTTGAATATCTCCGTAACTACTTGTTCGATTTCGCCCATCCAAAACACCAAACTTTGTTACCATGAGATCTAGAATCATACGAAGTTTGAAGTTTCTATGTCAATTATTTTTCAAGTTATCGTGGTAACAAGCGATTTCGTAAAAAAAATGAACAAATGAAAATAAAACTCAATTCTCCATAGCGGGGCGATGGAACGTCTGTACATTAAGATAGGTATCATCGTGACAAATATTTTGAAAAAAAAAATGAAGTTGGTCAAACCGTTCCTGAGATATTTGCAAAAAACGATTTGTGAGAAATCGCTATATCTCAGGAACTACTCAACCGATCAGGCTGAGATTTAGGACAGATTTGTATCTCGTTGGTACCAACTATGAGCCAAAATGTCAACTTTTTCGTAATTACGGTTTTAGAGTTATTGACACATTTCTGGACAAACGCACACACATACATACGCACACACATACATACAGACATCGTCTAAAAACATCATATCTCGACGTTTCAGACCACTCTGAGGCATATCCACGCAAAATTAGAGACTCGAAAAAAATTGCATTTTCAAAACTTCCATTCGGAATCAAAAACGTCTTATCATGACGAGACTGTGCGAAATCCCCAATTCTTCTAATATACCTTTAGAAATATATACAATGAAAAAATAGTATGATTTTCCGTGATGGAAAGGGAAGACCATAGACGTATCTACGTAAAATTACAGCTCTATCAAAGATACAGTCACCCGCAGATTTTTTTTATTCACATCGGAAATTTTGTATTTTGTAGTAATATTATATATTCAAAGTGAAAAAATCGATCGTCATTTCCACTATATTGAATTCAGATTCTCCTATCCTTAATGTAAAAAATGTGAGATAATCTCATAATTATTTCATAATTATCCTATTTTCCTGTGATCTAAATGATTTGAACAAGTATGATTCGTTTATTCATATTTCATAGAATATTATTCAATTCTCTTTAATTTGTTAGGTAGGCTTCATGAAAATTCGGTACAAGACGATTGTACTCATGAAAACCACGTTACTTTCTCCATTCGTTCGAGATATCCGCCATGTTTGAGTTCTCATTTTTGATTCGAAACGCCTATGCTTTTTTTTCGAAATGATTTGGCGGTAAAATGGTAATTTATAAATCGGAGAATTTCTACTCGCCATCCTCGATTAATGCAGTCTTTCATCAGACTGATTCATTATTTTTGGGAATTCATCTGTGATGGGTATGGATTGTCGTCATCGTCAACTTCTGCTTCAGCTGAGAGAAGATTTACGGTACACTGAGAGAAATTTCAATGGGAATTTTCCTCATCCAAATGTCAGCCAATAGAATTGCACTATTCGACTGCTATTTCATATAGTCAACACGGTATTCAGCTGATAATCTTTGATAATTCAACTGGTAATTTTTCATGTTGACTATATTTGTGGAAAACAAAAGGTTCCGTGGTCGAGTGAACCCCTGGTTGGAACTGTCAGATGGATTTTGTCTCATACTGCAATTCTTTTGGCCGACATTTGGATGGGAAAATTCCCTCCCGAATACTACTCGAGCTTCAAAATTAATCGAGTAATTCCCTCAAGATTCCCTGTACACAGACGAAGTCATCAAGTTTTTCAGGAAAAATCACTCGTGCTTCGCACTCGTGATTTTTTAACCTGAAAAACTTGACTCCTTCGTTTGTTTGCAACGAACCTATCGGGAATTG